CGAATGACTGTTTTTAGGTCCCTGGATGAAAACATGCTACAGTTAATGTCACTGTATCACACAAGACAAAGCAAATGACAGGACTGGAACAGTTTAAAAACAGAAAAATACATCATATATATGTATATGATATTGGAGATGTAAAATAACATTGCTTTAATTAGTGGAGTGGAGGTATTTGTTAGGGGTTCCTGATCTGCATTTAAAGACTGCCTGATGGCATCTTCACTGGGTTCTGGCCCAGTCTTTTCTTCAGTGGGTGTAGTATCCAAAGGCTTCTTTTCAGGTCCCCGTATGAAAACATGCTACAGTTAATGTCACTGTATTGCTAAGAAAGATACCAAAAAATCCTTCGTGCCATTCAGCTTAAGTCTGATTTGAAAATAAGATTTTGTAGAGCAATTTAGAATAGCAAAAATATAAAATACAAAGTGAATAACACCACTGGTTCCACGAGTTTCATGACAGTAAAAAAAACTGTTAATTAAATGCAGTGGAACTGTGTGCAGTTAGCTCCCTAATTATAATTTGACTTTGCATGTTCTGTGTATGGTATAGCAGGTGGGTTTTTTTTTCAACTAACATTACTTTAATTACATTAGACTTCTATATAGTGTTGATAATGTAGTTTCTAGACCTATGTATGATAAGTTCATAGAATATGAATAGCAGAGAGCAGCAGGCTGTGATTATCCAGTCAAAATTAGTCTTTTTCATTTTCAACAACTTCATTGTAATACTTTCACTTTCACATTTAACAGAAAAACAAACAAAAACTCACTGATAGCTCACTCACTCACTCTCACACACACACACACACACACACCTACCCCAGCAGATGTATATTGAGATGTTGACTCATTCTGCCACTGTATGACAAATAATTGACAATTAATACTATAAAATACCAACAATTTTAAACAGTACTATTGCTATTTAAGAAAGTCAACATTAATTAATACCATAATTCTCTTATACTTAACAGTTGTCTTTCACACTGTTCAAATGTTCAGTTTTAATTTGCAGATATGGCTGATACAGATACTCACATCCATGGGCTCAACTGGGTCATTGGCTGACATTTTGAGTCTTCTTCCTTTAAGAAAACATATTTGTGACATAAATGACAGCAATGTTTGTTGTAGTCATTCTTCCAGTTGAAACAATCAACAATTCTTGATTTGGTGTATTTATATAAAACCTGCACTCAGAAATGACTTGTCAAATGTCGACATTATATTAAAGGCGACGCTATCGCCCGACTGCACTTTCGCTTACGACAACCTAACGCAAACTTTTATAGGCTGTCAATTAGCTCTCCGTTTGTATTGCTTCTTACATTTAACACAACGTTATGCAACAAACATGTTGTTTACTTTTCGAACAAACATGTAAAACATGAATTCATGAAGCATATTTACCTTCAGCTGGCTCTGAACGCTGCTTCTTCCTGATAAATGAAAGCGAAACTGTTGAGGCTCCGCGAGACACGTGA